GATGTTAAATCCATTGATTGCCACGTCATTATTCATTACAGATTTGTTGAGCCAGGATTCAGAAATAAAGCTAACATCTGCCCCAGAAGAACTGACCAGGATTTTCAAAGCATCCAGTTTTTTCAGAAGGCTACGAGCGTTTACATGCAGAAAATGAAGCCCAGAGGCGTTTTTAAAGTCATTTGGTGTGCTGTAATTAGTGGGGGGTCCAGGGTTGGGCTGAATCCCTGAGAGCAGTAACAACATTACTATCAGACATTTTCTTGAGTTTTTTGTGACTGATGTGTAATTACAGGAGTTAACAGTGTGACAATTAGCCCCCATAATCGAACCATGAGAAACATTAATGAAGACGCGATCATTCAGAACCCAAAAACAGTGAAAGTTGCAGTGATGGACAGATTCAGGTGTATTAACAAGATTCAGTGACTCCAGATAATCTGAGAACTGAAAATAGTGACAGTATTATGAATGATGCAGAAAAGTTTCAGACCATAAAACGTCACAGTTAAAATGGGCAAACAAACCCGATGAGTTGGCCCAACTGCAGTTTGAGTTGGGCTGAGGGGGGCTCCGGCCCCCCAGTGAAGAAGGATGGATGGATGGATGTATGCTCCCATGGGAAACAGAAGCTGGATCCAGAACCAACAGGCCAAAACAGAAACAGATAATTCGCAGCAAATAGTAGAGCGAGCTGCCAGAAAATCCTCCTGAAGTGAAAGGCATGATCCAAGCTCGTTTCAGGTCAACAGGGGCCAACTGCGTGATCCGGAATAAAATTAATTATTATCCAGGTGATTTTGGATGGAGGCCTGCAGCAGCTCCGATACAAACTCCGAACTTCTCTCGAGCACCACGCAGACCCGCTCCTTCACTCTGCTCCTCCGCTTTTCAGCACCCAACAGCACGGGGCACCCCCGGTGAAAAGCGAGACTGACCGGAGAGGCTGAGGCTGAAGTCGGCAACTGGTCCGGTTCTGCTCCAGTTCGGCTCCGGCGCTCCAAGCACGAGAGACAAAGAGGCTGAAGATATCCCTGGCCCGGTTCTGCTCCGGTCCGGTGGCCCAGTCTTGCGGTGCGGTTCTGCTCCGGTCCGGCGGCCCAGTCCGGCGGCGCGGTTCTGCTCCGGTCCGGCGGCCCAGTCCGGCGGCGCGGTTCTGCTCCGGTCCGGCGGCGCTTCAAAGCACCGGAGCGTCTCCTCCAGGTGAACACAACGACTCCACGGAGGTGGATCGTCCTTCAGTAAAAGAAAGAAGCCCAATACTTGATTTGTTTATTATTTAAAAACTCTCTGGACCTTGTAGTGGAATTTTCTTAATTCAAAATATATGATGGCAAAAGGACACCCTATGCTTTTTTTTTTTTTTTAGCAAGTTTTATACCAAAAACATATTGCGATAAATATTGTTATCGCCACCCTTCATAATACATATCGTGATATGAATTTTATGCCATATCGCACATTCCTAGACTCAACTATTTTCTCCAGTAGTTTAGAAACAAATGGGAGTCTGGAGTTAGGCCGGAAGTTGGATACAACTGAGGGGTCAAGGTTTGCTTATTTATGAGAAGCTGGACAGCAGCATGTTTAAAGGTTTTTGGCACCACTCCAGTGGATAAACTGCTATTTACAATAGCAAGAATGGATGGACCTAGAGTAGGAAAAGCCTTCTTTAGTAGTTGAGGGGGGACCACATCAAAGGGGGAACCAGAAAGTTTCAAACTGCACATGACCTGCTCTAGAGAAGATAGAGTGATGGGTTCAAAATGGTCAAATAGAGCTACAGATTGAGGTGGGATGGATGGGTCATGAGTTGGAGGGGAAATGAGAGCCCGGGTGGTCGCAATTTTTTCCAAAAAGGAATGTAGGAAGTTCTTGCATACCTCAGTCAAGGCTTCCAGAGGTGATAGTTCAGTGAGGTGGAGAACAGAGTTTAGGGTAGAAAAGAGGACACGTGGGTTGCGAGAATTTTAGGTAATGATATCAGAAAAGTATTTGGATTTAGCAGCTTTTACTGCTTTCTGATAACGGTGCCAACTCTCTTTAAGTATTTGAAAAGAGACCGGCAGCCTGTCTTTCTTCCACTTGCACTCCGCCCTCCTGCACTGCTGCCTAATGGCCTTGGTGACGTCACTCAGCCAAGGTTCCGCTCTGAGTTTTTATTTATTTTTTTTTAATACGAGCAACATGATCCAGAGTCTTAAAGCAGACAGAGTTGAAATGGGATGTCAGCTCCTCAGTGGTGGTGAGAAACACCAGGGGCTGAATGATCAATTCTCATGTATGTTTTTAAATCACTGAACAGTTCCGCCCCATCCTATCTCACTGATCTTCTGCAGCCATATGTCCCACCGCGCTCTCTGAGGTCAGCAGACCAGATGCTTCTCTCAGTCCCAGAAACCCGTCGTAAGCTCAGAGGTGACAGGGCTTTCTCTGTTGCAGGTCCACGACTGTGGAATGAGTTGCCACTGAGTGTCCGGCAGGCTCCCACACTCTCAGTCTTTAAGTCTCACTTGAAGACCCACTTCTATTCGCTTGCCTTTAACACGGTGTGATTTGTTTTGGTTCGGTCTGTTCTCTACTCTGTTGGCCATTTTAGTTAGCTTCTGCTGCTATTTGTATCTGTATTTATATTTTATGTTTTCCTGTCCGCTGTGCATGTTTGGTTCTTTTGTACAGCACTTTGGTTGGCCTTGTTGCTGTTTTAAGTGCTATATAAATAAATTGGTATGGTATGGTATGGTATCATTTCAGAGTTATAAACATCTGTGAAACGTGCGGCAGTGAAATGGTTAAAGGCCCTGGCTACTACGTGCAGGAACGCACGGCTTAGGAGTTAGATGGGGAAGGGTGTACTCAAACTGGACTGGCATGTGGTCTGAAAAAACATTATCACCAATTTCAAGATTACTAACAGTCAAATCACGTGTTAAAACAAGGTCCAGTGTATGTCTGCGCTCTTGGTTGGGACCGTTTACATGCCGAGTTAGGTTAAATGAATCCAATAAATCTAAAAAGTCCTTAACCATGGGCTTCTCCTGACAGCACACATGCAAATTAAGGTCCCCAATAATAAAAACATGATCATATTTTGGTGTGATTTCAGCCAAGAAATCATAAAACTCATTTATGAAATCCTTAGATCGAGGTGGGCGGTATACGAGTGCTCATAAAATCGAAGATGAATGGCCGAGTTCAAAGACGCTCAGCTCAAAGCTGACGCAGTAATCTGGGATGGGCAGTTGTTTACAGTCAAAAGTTGATTTGAATATTGTTAATAATCCACCACTGCTCCGGCCTGATGGCCGCGGTGCGTTAAAATACAGACAGTTGGGCGGCAATAATTCTGTCAAGGTGCTGGACTCACCCGGAGACATCCAAGTCTCTGTGATGCAGAGAAAGTCCAAATCATGCTCTTGAAAGTAGTCCCTGAGTATAAAAGTTTTGTTAGTAACAGATCTTGCGTTGACCAAACAAATCCGGATACTGTTCAAAGTGGAGCCAGCAGCGGCTGAGAGAGCGCGCGGCAGTGGCCGCAGATGTTCAATAACGGCCCCTCCGGGTTGGCCTGTGCTCTGCACCGGCCGACAACTCCCGTTGTTTACCTGGTCCGGGCACGTGGGAAGCTGGCGATGGAAACCATGACCACAAGCTGGAGAGGAAGATGCTGCGAGCAGGGCTTTAAGCTTTACCAGCCGCCCAGCACATTTTCCCCGGCGTCTAGAGCGATTTCTCCGGGCAGGCAGGTGGAGAGCGCGCCGGAGGTAAACGGGCACGTCCGCCAGCAGCGGGGGAAGGGGGGGGGAGGGATCCAGTGGTACGCTCATTATGCTCCAAATAAGCGACATCGGCTGCAGAAAAACAAAAGATCCAGCAGCTGTTGTCGGTCATACATCAGCAGCGAGTTTATGTCCCAGATGAAAAATGAACAAAACGCAAATAATCCGAACACCATCAGCAGAGGTGGATTGCAAGCCATGTACACGGGCGCCATCTTACCGGAAGGTAAGAGCAATGTGTAGAGCAATGTTCACCAATCCGCTGCAAAAAGGAAAACAACTCCCTCCCCTTGTCTGTTCCTGCTACCAGACTCAACGTCTGGGTTACTAATTTGTTATAATATATTCTGTATTTGAACAGCAAGATGAGGAGCAATCATCATCATTTCAGAAGGTTTACTTTACCCACATGTAAAGTACAAAGATCACCAGCCCTGGGCCATTACCACTTCTCCTTGTGGTTTCAAACAATGGCCCCGAGTGTAAACTGAACATCCGTTTTCTTCAGAGCTTGGTCACGCCTCCCAAGAAGAGTCACCACCATCAAAGAATGGGAAGCCCTACTCTATCATGTGACCCAGCTCTCAATCAATAAATATCTCACCATCTTGTGTTTTACAATGGGTGGGTGTGCGAATGTTGTGAGTTGTAGGCATGTAACTTAAACTACATTTTCTTCTGGAAATGGAATCATATAGTGTTTTAACAAAATATGATTCTGAATAACAAACAAGATACATATATCTAGACATTTCATTAAGTTAATATATTGTCTGATAAAATTCTATTTCAGCTCCCTGTCTACCGACCTCCATCCCCCCCACACACACATGCACACACCCCCACGATAACTGCCGCCACTCACGTAGATGCACTAGCTAAAAAGCTAAAGAGGTAACGCCTTAAGTAGTGCTTCGTCTCTGTCACGCTATGCCGTACACGCACCCAGCCCCGCTAAAAAAATAGTTTGTACAAACAGTGTGCAACACAGATGTGTCTCTGTCTACAATACACTCACGTGCACACACACTCTGTTGAAAAAAAATCAGAGGATATGAGCGCCCTGCCAATGCAAGTAAATTAGGGGAAACGCTGAGAGTGGAATATATAGTTGTATATTTGTAATATATATTTATTTAATAATGTAACTTATGTGTATTTCTGTTTTTTCAATGTTTGAAATAACATTTCTGACATTCAGTGTATTTGTTTTCTCTGTAGCTTACTGGCGGTTCTGGCTGTGCGTGACTGTCGTCTATGAACTCTTCCTCATCTTCATCTTATTTCAGGTCTGTGTCTTGGTCATCTTCATATTTAGAAAAGCTCAATGCCTTCATTCAGGTTATGAAATGAAAGCAGAATAACAAGACTTGTCACATAAGCTGAAGGCTGATCTTTGTTTTAAATCCATCCATCCATCATTTTCCCGTTTTCTGACTGTGGACCATAGCCTCAGATTTGGAGGTGCTTATTCTCATCCCAGCCGCTTCACACTCTTTTGCGAACTGTTTCAGTGAGAGCTGAAGATCCCAGCACGATGATGCCAGCAGGACCACATCATCTGCAAATAGGAGAAGAAGAATCCTGAGGCCACTGAATCAGAATCCTTACGCCCCCTGGCTGCACTGAGAGATTTTGTCCATAAAAGTTGTGAACAGAATTGGTGACAATGGGCAGCCCTGGTGGAGTCCAACTCCCACCCTGAAGGGGTCCAACTTTCCACCAGCAATGTGAACCAAACTCTCCCACCTCGTGTATAAGGACCGAACAGCCCGTAGCAACGGGCCCTCAACCCCATACTCATGGAACACCCCCAAAGTGTATCTTGAGGAACACTGTCGAAAGCCTTCTCCAAGTCCACAAAACACATGTAGACTGGATGGGCAAACTCCCATGACCCCTCGAGGACCCTAGTGAGGGTAAAGAGCTGATTCAGTGTTCCACTGCCAGCACGGAACCTGCATTGTTTTGTGAGAGGTGGGGCGCATGAGCAAGTGCTGACCCTGGGCGTCTGGCTTGCTTGTTGTTTGTCAGTTTTTTGATCTATTATATCGGTTTTTTTTTTTTTATATATATGTAATACTGCAGAACAGTTTATGCTTGGCAAACATGGCAAGAAATGTGTTAACAAAATTACTGGTTTGGCTATTGTTTTGGACTATATGGGGCATTTTAAATGCTGAGAGCAGGCCGTTTGGATACACGGAACATTGGATTACCTATTCTCGGAATTACCTGCTGACTTTTCAACAAACCAGCACTTCTCCCCCGACCCTTCTCCACAGCTGCCCTGAAATAACCCGGTCAGTAAATCAATCAGGCACCGGTACAGCTAAAAAGAAAATGCGTGGATCCAGAGGAGGAATAGGGAACCGGCTTAAAAGGAGGGGCAGCCGCTTCCCCCTCCCGACAATCACGCTCTCCAACGTGCGTTCAATAAGGAATAAGATGGAGCAGTTATCTGGACTTTTGAAATATGACAGAGATTTCAAGAGAGCCAACCTTCTATGTTTCACTGAGTCCTGGCTTACGGAGAACGATGACGTCACTGACCTGAAGGGATATACGACACTCCGTTTTGACAGAGACACACAGCGCACGGAGAAAAGCATTGGAGGTGGGTTGTGCATGTTTGTGGATAATCGCTGGGCAACTAACATGACGATCCGTGAGACTGACTGTTCAAAACACTATGAGATCATGACTGTATCCTTTCGCCCTTACTATCTGCCCCGTGAGTTCAGACAGATCACTGTTATTCTGGTTTACGTGCCCGGACCGGACTTCACTTTGGCAGCTGAGCGCATAACTGACAGCTACACCAAGGCACAACGTCACTCTGTGGATGACCCGATCCTCCTACTTGGCGACTTTAATGGTTGTGATATTCCCACTTATCTCCCGAACTTAGAACAATATGTGACCTGTCTGACACGAAAAGACAAGACTCTTGATAAATGTTTTGGTAATTTGGAGGGTGCGTATGTGGCCAGGTGTTGCCCACCCCTCGGCCAGTCTGACCATAACGTCATCCACCTGCTGCCAAAATATCGTCAGAAAGTGAAGAGGGAGAAACCTGCTGTTAAGACTGTTCAGTGCTGGACAACAGACTCTGTTGATGAGCTGAGGACTTGTTTTGAACTGACTGACTGGAGCCTGTTCTTCAGCGAGGAGGTCTCTGCTGAAAACTCTGAACTGCTGAATTTTACCATCACCAGTTACATTAAATTTTGTGTGGACAATATTATCAAAACAAAAACAGTTAGATTTTACCCTAATAATAAACCTTGGGTAAATAAAGAAATGAAGCTTCTTTTAAACCAAAAGAAAGCAGCTTTTAGAGGAGGAGATATGCAAAGGATGAGGGAACTAGAGAAGGAAATAAGTTGCATGATTAAGAAAGTTAAAATAAATTATAAAGATAAAGTTGAGAGGGAACTGAGTAATGGCAATGCAAGAGATGCCTGGAGGGGACTGAACACAATAATGGGGAGGAAACAAAAAGATTCCCTTCAGCACACTGACCCTTTTGGTCTTGCAAATAAACTAAATGTTCATTATTCAAGATTTGACATCCATGACTTCAGTGATGAGATTGACTCTTTCTGTGCAGCCTTGACACCAACTCCTGTGGAATTACAGGAGAAAGAGGTAATTTCAATTTTTCAGAACATCAATCCTCATAAAGCAGCTGGGCCAGATGGGATTAAGGGAAGGGTATTAAAAGAATGTGCCACACAGCTGGGTCCTGTGTTCAAACAGATATTTGAGTTGTTTCTTAACACTAGCTTTGTCCCACAAGCATGGAAAATGTCAACTATTGTCCCAGTGCCCAAAATAACACAAAGCTAAGACACTGAATGACTTCAGACCAATTGCCCTCACATCTGTATTATGCAAATGTACGGAGCGCTTAGTGAGCAGAGAACTCATGTGTGTTACAGCTGAGCATATGGACCCTTTGCAGTTTGCATATAGGACTAACCGAGGGGTGGAGGATGCCACTCTCTCCCTCCTCAACAAGGTCCATAATCATTTAGACAACCCAAAGACATTTGTTCGCGTGTTATTCATGGACTTTTCATCTGCTTTTAATACGGTTCAGCCACATATACTTTTAAAACGCCTGTGTGATCTAAATGTCAGCAGCCATCTTGTGTTGTGGATTAGCAATTTTTTAAGAGGAAGACCCCAGCGAGTTTGTGTTGACAACACTCTATCTGGTTTGATGAGTTTCCTGGCCCTTAATGTCAGTAAAACCAAGGAACTTTGTTTGGGAGGTAGATGGGGAGCAGCCAGCACCAGACCTACTTTTAGGCCTTCTATTATAAAAGGGCAGGAAGTAGAGCAGGTGACTAATTTTAAATACCTTGGAATAATAATTGACAACAAGTTGACCTTTGAACCCAACACTGACTATATTTACAAAAAAGCTAGACAGCGTCTCCACCTTCTGTATAAGCTAAGGAGCTTTAATGCAGCAAAATTACTTTGCAGTTGGTGTACAGGTCACTGGTTGAAAGTGTTGTTTCATTTAATATTGTCTCATGGTATGGGAACTAGAGGATGACACAGGAGTAGATTTTCACTCCTGTCCTGTCCCAATCCTGGTCCAGAGTAAAAAAATTAATCCTGTCCTGTCCTGCTCCTGGTCAGAATCACTCCCACTCCTGTCCTGCTCCTGTTTTTTTTTTTCCTCTTCATTTAATTTTTAAGAAATGCATTGAATTTGAATTGATTTTCTAACCATTCCTTTTTAAATTACTTTGTGTTCTGCAGTTTGATTTCAAAAGATATGGCAGGAAGAGTTAATCTGTGGTGAAATATGGAGGCATTTATTGCCTTAATTCAAACAAAAACCTTCACTAAAGGTCACAAAACAAATCCATGGCCTGTAGTCCTTATAGTTTTTCTACAGAGGATCAGCTGCTGAGTCCCTGTTTCTGGCTTTTTTGAAGGTCAGTTACAGTAAAAACAAAAAATCTAAACCAGTGCATGGGTCACACCATGTCTACCTTAGATGAAAGAACCCAAACAGAACAAATAGAAGTTGCTTTTTACTAATTTATTGAGCAATTGTTTCCTTCCCTTTAGACAGTAACGTTCCTGTCATGGTTTAAATTGCTTAAATAAAAAACTAAACAAAAAAATTGCACCAAACAAACTGTCATCAATGAACAAAACTGCATAAAGGCATTACATTCATATTGTACCTGAGTTTTTGAAAAAGGAAAAAAAAAGTGCATATAATGCAAATACTAAATAAAAGTACAACTGCCATATATATATGGTGGTTGACTGGTGCAAATGTGCTGCAAACAACTACACACACAGTAATACTACAGTGGTCAGCAGGTGCAAACTGCTAACATGCTGCAAACAGTCAGCTACTGCACACACAGCTAACAGTTAAAAAGCATTGCAAACGCATAAATGATGCAAACTCTAAAACAACAACAAAAACAAAACAAATGCAACAGAAAAATGCAGCGAAAGAAAAAAACCTGCAATTACAGAAAATAAAACATACAACCCAAAAAACGAATGCAAAGGAAAATGCTGAAAAGTACTCTACTCCGAGCACATTAAACTCAGTTGCCGCTCAGCTGTAATGTGTTTGCAGGGTTCTGTTGACCAGACCAGCAGTTGTTTTGGTGTTATTTGTATTTGAAGCATTTTTCCTTTGCATTTTTTTTTTTTGATTGTGTGTCATCTATTTTCTGTGACTGCAGATTTTTTTTTCTGTTGCATTTGTTTTTTTGTTTTGGAATTTGATTCATTCCTGTGTTTGCAGCGTGTTTTAACTGTTTGCTGTGTGTCTGTCAGCCACCGTGCATATCAGTCTACTTTCCCACTCTTCAGCACATATGAATAGTTGTCGTTATAAATTGCTATGTAGGAACAAAAGTTCATCTACATTTTCTGGATTGAGGGTGGAACACCTCTCCTCAATCAGTCTCCCAGCAACACTGAAACTACGCTCAGGAGTGCTTGTTGCTGGGATTGCTAGCAGCCTCTTGGCAACTGGCACTAGCCCATCGGACCTCTCATGCCAGAAGTTGAGCAGAGACTGGAAGCCTGTCAACTTAGAGTCACTCATGTACTGTACCACAAACTGGCTGCCCCATGACTCTGAAATACCACCACTGTCCCCCTCCTGTTGCTGCTTTTCAACACAAAAGGAAAAGAAGTCGTGCACCTCTGTGGGACTGGGAACTGCCTCTCGGGGTGGACCTTTGGAGAGAAAAAACAACAAAAAAAGAGAGATTCTTATAGAACATTACCTGTATTGGACATTACCTATTAGATTATACAGACGTGTGTGTGAATGAATGCCTCTAAATAAATGATAGGAAGAAATGTTGTTATTACATTTTAGAATTGCTGTGAGTGCTCTGTTGATGCTAGTTTTACTCACCCTGTTTCTTCTCAAGGCTTCTCGCTCTCTCCTCTGTCCCTGCTGTTTCTGTGAGTGCTGCCAGGGTGTTGATGACCTCCTCATACTCCTGACCGGAGAGCGTTTTCCTCAAGAAACTCCTCAGGCTAGGAGAGAGAGCTGTGGCTAGCTTATGGTACAGGTGGATTTTGAATTTCAACTCCACTGCCTGGGCCAACTTCTCTTTCAGCTAGAGGAGGAGTGAAACCACATGATGACACATGCAGTGATATGATAATGATGTATGCAACATCATTATTACAGGACATAAAAAATTCTCAGGCGGACAGGCACTGTGCTTTGTTATAGGCGTGGAGGAGTTTTAAATTTATTTCAAATTTAACTTGTACAATGTTTCTTTTGGAAAACATCAGACTCAGTTCTGTTCTTGCCTTTATCACTGTTACTGAATAGGGCCAAACTCCTGTTAGCTACTTGAATGATCAAACTAAACAATACAAATAAACAAAGTATTAAATTACCTCTTTCACAATTGCACTATCTCCATCCTGGATCAACAAACCCTGCAGCAGGGTTGCCTTGGTTGGGAGGACGAGGTGAAGAGCAGGTGCCTGATGGATGGAGAGGTGCCTGGTAGCCTCATCAAAAGGTTTCAGGAGCTGGATGACGTCCTCAAGAAGGTCACAGTCTATGTTGTTGAGGTAACGGAGCTCGCTTCTGCGAAGCAGGATGTCTGCAGCTTACCAGACTTGAGAGCATCATTTATTGACTGGAGCATGGCAAGTCTGGTGTTCCACCTCGTCTCCACAGCCTGCTTCAGTGACTGGTCCAGTGCTTTTTGTAACCTAAAATTGAAAGAAGACCGTGCACAAGTCAAAATAGGGTTACAGGGACTATAAAAATTGCAATTTGTTGGCCTTTCTTTTGGAAAAAATATTTTATTAAAAAGAAGAGCTTTACAACTGAAACTAAGTCAAGAAAATGTGACCTTTGCAGTTATAAATTACAGTACCTCAATTTTTCTTTATTTATTTCACTTATCATATTTTATGATTATTTAAGCAGCCTCACCAGGCAGAGATGACAAGATTTTATGTATCTTACCCTGCCCTTTTGAAATGTGTGACTAGGGTCTTTGCGTCCTTAAACAGCTTGATGACGCTGCTGTGTACTGGGTTGTCCTCATCCAAGTGGTCAAATACGTGTTTTAACATCAAGTTGATATTATGGAGAGTCGCACATAATCCTTGAAAGCAGCGATCATGTTTGAGCCATTATCTGTCACAAACACAGTGTGCTTGCTCAGGATGCCAAATTCCTGTTGGGTAAAAAAACAAAACAAAGACAAACCAAAAACTTAGCAAATAAGAAGACCAGACATATGATAATCATTAAACAGATTGATCAACAGTCATGTAATTGTACGAAGCACTTTTCAATAAATTTATAGTACTACATTAGGACAAAACATATTACACATATTACACATGTGTTGTGTATCAAATGAAGGAAAACTCCATCTGCAATTAAGGTAAAATATTGTGGTAATCTGCCTAAATTGCTGCCTACCACGGCACAGACTGATGTACAGCGAAGGACCGTGACACACGCTTACTGATGCACTGATTTATATTCCAGGTTAGTCTGCTCCTGCAACCTGGAACACCTTTCAGCAGGAACTGAAGTTGTCCACCTTAATTTATTGTGAGGGGTTTTAAACATTTCTTAATGTCAATAAAAATCTCAAAGCAAATATATTCTTGTTTTTAGTATTTTACATTTTTTATGGCACATTGATTTATTTTTTTAGACACTACTTTTATTTTAACTGCATTTTTACTGTAGTTTATCGTTATTGTTGTTCACTGTTATTGTTGTCTGTACTTTATATGTTCTGTCTGTCTGGATTGGAACAGGTCTCTTGAAAACGAGTCCTCGTGACTCAATGAGGTTAGCCTGTAAAGGTTGAATGAAAAATATATATATTTGTCTTTTCTATTGTTCCTTCTGTGACATGTTCTTGTTATTGCTGCACCATGTTCTCATACTTTTCCCAATTTTACGAATTAATTGGCAATATTTATTGCATATGGACTGTACTTATATAGCGCCTTTGTCTTATTTCAAGACACTCAAAGCGCTTTACACTACAATCTGTGCCTCATTTACCCATTCATACAGCTCTATACTAGACCTCTACAAAGCTAATATGCCATGTAAATAAAGATAATTATCTCATTTGAGTGTGAGATACCTGAAGGATTTTCTCCACAGTCCCTCTGATGTGTTCATTAGATTTGACACCCTCCATCTCCCTTGTGGCCAGAATACGGTTCACCATCTTCCCATCCAAGATGTAATGGACTGTAACGGTGATGTAGTGTGTGTTTGTCCTCTCCTCTGTCCAAAGGTCTGTCGTGATTGCATGGTCTCTAGTCTGCACCAAAGGAATTACGTATATTATTAGCTCTCAAAGTATATTACATGTAAAACAGATGACTAATTTATAGTTGAGAGATTAAGCAGTTTAAAAGGAGGAGAAAAAACAGATTTAGTGTTAGGAAATCTATAATTAGACTACTGCATGATGTCAAGGTAAAATGTTTGTACTGTATTATAAAATAGTGCAGCGTGACAGACATACCTGATGGAGCTCTTCCATGACCATTTTTTAAATTTTATCATATTCTCCTTGAACATGACGGGAGACCGTGCGTCCACATGGCAGTATGTCTTGTGCCTCAGCGTTGTTTCCATACTTTGCTCCAATGTCGATTGCCTCCTGTATGACGTCGATGAAACCTTTCCCATCTACTACAGCAAATGGTCTCAAATCTACGCCGCACATGCGGGCTATTTTGTTTGTCATACGAGACTTGACTCCCGACGGTACTTTTCGTTTAATGAATGAAGAAATGCTTGGCTGATTCGTTCCGAAATTAGCCTTGCAAGTGTGCCTCTTCAGACCACTCGTCCCCGAGTCAGTGGCGTACTTTATTATAACTGAACATGTTTTGCAAGCAGCGTAGAGCGTCTTCACACCGTCACACTCGACTCTCATAAAGTTCTGAACTATTAGCGCCTTCCCTGACAGTTCTATTAACCTAACAGATGCGTCATTATTCCTAACTTTGCGTTGCAAAATATTTTTTACCCTCTCGGTTTCTCCGCTGGCGTATGCTCCCTCCATGATGTTGGTTGATACAGTAAACAAAGAGGTTGGAAAAGGCGGCCGGAAGTAGCTGCTGGAAAAGGCGCCGGAAGCTGTTGGCGCAGCCGCCTGTCTGAAATTTATTATTTATTTTTTTTTGCCTATTTCTTTTTTTGTCATATGTTGGCTCCCGCTCCCGTCTGCTCCCGTTAAGTTTTCGTCCTGTCCGGTCCCGATAACGGGAGTTATAATAAAGTTGACTCCGGTCCCGCCGGAATCCGGCCGGATTCACGTGACCGGCAGTACTCCCGAAAAAATGTCTTCCTCTAATGGGAACCTCCTAGCCAGAGACAGGAACAAGTTGTCCCGGGTGGTCAGACAAGGTAGTAAAGTCATTGGTCATCAACAAATGACACTTACAGACCTGTACAGTCAGGTTCTGGAAAAAAAGGCAATCCAGGTATACAATGACCCAACTCATCCACTGCAACCATTATTCAGGTTGGTACCATCTGGTAGAAGACTCCTGGTTCCTTTAGCAAAGAAAAATGGGTACAAAAAGTCATTTGTTCCCTCTGCGGTGAATGTACTTAACAAGGTTCTATTTAAACGCAGCCTCATATAACAAACCACTGTCTGCTGAGATGTTTTCATATTCTAATGTATTGTGTATTTTAGAATGGTTTTAACTGAATGTTTTAAATTGATTTAGCAAAGTTTGGTTTTAAGTTTTTTAGAGTTTTTAATCACATTTTTATTTTGTTTTATAAGCCATATGTCAAAGAAATCTCCATTTCATTGAATGTTATGGACAATAAAGTTGAATTGATTGATTGATTGATTGATTGTTCCTCCTGGATCTGAGGTTCAACCAACAATCGGACTCGCTTCTCCAGTACCCCTGAATAGACCTTACGAGGGAGGCTAAGAAGAGTGATGCCCCTATAATTGGAGCACACCCTCCCATCCCCCTTTTTGAAGAGGGGAACCACTGCCCTTGATGTCCACGTGACATTGCAAAGGCGCTTCAACCAAGACATCCAGTGCCTTAAGGAAATCAGGCTGAATCTCATTCACTCCCGGAGACCTGCTGCCACAAAGCTTTTTAACTACCTCAGCGACCTCAGGCACAGTTATTGACAGAAGAACAAAGTCCAAAGTCCCCTGACTCAGCTTCCTCCATGGAAGACATGCTGGTGAGATTGAGAAGGTCCAAGAAGTATTCCTTCCACCTCCCGACAACATCACTGGCTGAGGTCAACAGTACCCCACCTTCACTGAAGACAGTGTTGATAAAGTGCTACTTTCCCCTCCTCAGCCATCAGATGGTTTGCCAGAATCTCCTTTGACCTGACCGAGAGTCTCTATCCAAGGCCTCACCGAACTCCTGCCACATCCTAGTTTTTGCCTCAGCAACAGCCAAGGCTGAAGACCATTTGACCCTCTGGTACTCTTCATCTGCCTCTGTAGTCCCACCAGCCAACAAGGCCCAATAGGACTTCATATTCAGCTTGACAGCCTCCCTAACCCGGGGTCCACCACAAAGTTCATGGATGGCCACTGCCAGAAGCACCAACAACCTTGTGGTCACAGCTGGGGCAGCTGTGGTTGAGTGATTAGAGCAGTCGTCCTCCAATGCAAGAGTTGGGGATTCGAATCCACTAGCAGTCTCATGCTGAAGTGTCCCTAGGCAAGACACTGAACCCCTCACTGCCTCTGATGTGCATCCCATCAGTGTATAAATGTGATAAAGCATTGATTAGTCTCTTTAGAATGATTTGTTCAATTAGCTTTGTAGATATATAATGGAGTGCTTTATGAATGGGTAAATAAGGACACAGATTGTAGTGTAAAGCGCTTTGAGTATCTCAATAAGATAGAAAGGCTCTATGTAAGTACAGTCCATTTACGATTTACAGTCCATTTACAGCTCAATGCAGCTAACTCAATTACTGATGAGCGGGGCATGGCCTACTCTGACGCAATGTCCCCCTCCTCAGCTGGGATGCAGTTAAAGCTCTCCCGGAATGTGTGAGTTGAAGATTTTTCTGACTCACAAGGTTCTTCTGCCAGGCGTTCCCAGCAAACCCTCACTCCACGTTTGGGTCAAGTCAAGTCAAGTCATCTTTATTTGTAGAGCACAATTTAAAACAGATAAACTGTTATCAAAGTGCTTAACAGAAATGTAGCAAAACATAGGCAGCAAAACAAAAACATCATACAGAATTAAAATTACTGGAGCAATAACACACACTAATGATCACACTAAGGAAAAACAAGCAGTAAAAATAAACGTCAATCATAAAACAACAGAATTTAAAATGAGGTACACAGAACAAAATAAACTAACTCACACAGTATTAAACGCCAGAGCAAACAGGTGCGTTTTAAGGAGGGATTTGAACATCAGGAGGGAGGAGGCCTGCCTGATGTTGAGGGGCAGGTTGTTCCACAGGTTGGGACCTCTGACTGAAAAAGCTCGATCCCCTCGGAGCTTCAGGCGTGATTTTGGAACGACCAAAAGAAGCTGGTCCGATGATCTCAGGGCCCGAGACGGAACATATGGTTCCAGGAGCTCAGAGAGGTAGAGGGGTGCGAGGCCATTTAGGCACTTATATGTCAGGAGAAGAATCTTGAAGTCGATTCTGGATCGCACAGGAAGCCAGTGAAGGGAGGACAGAACAGGTGTGATGTGCTCAGACCTACGTGTACCAGTTAAAAGCCGAGCAGCTGCATTTTGGACGAGCTGGAGACGTGAAATGGACGCCTGACTGACCCCAGCATAAAGTGAGTTACAATAGTCCAGGCGGGTTGTGATGAAGGCATGGACTAATGTTTCAAGGTTGGGTCTGGATAACACTGGCTTGAGCTTAGCTACCTGCCGCAGTTGGAAAAAACTTTTCTGCAGAACTGAACTGATCTGTTTGTCAAACTTAAAATCCGAGTCAAAAACCACCCCGAGATTTCTAACAGTGTGCTTGAGATAGGGCTGAAGTGAGTCCAGGTTTGCAGGATCTGAGGAGGCAGCTGAGCTAGGACTAAAGACGATGACTTCAGTTTTCTGGTCGTTAAAACTGAGAAAATTTGAAGTCATCCATGCCTTAATGTCATCTAGACATTTGAGGAGAGGGTGGATGGAACGAGCACTGGCTGGTTTCAGTGGCAGGTAGATCTGGCAGTCATCGGCATAGCAATGGAATGAGATGGCATGTTTTCTTAAGATGGATCCCAGTGGGAGCAGATAGAGCGAGAAGAGAAGGGGTCGGAGGATCGAGCCCTGTGGGACCCCGCAGGAAAGAGGCACCGAAGTGGACAGACTTTCACCAACCTTGACACAAAAAGTCCTGTCAGAGAGGTAAGAGCGGAACCAGTCTAAAGCAGCTCCTGTAATCCCAACCCAGTGTTCGAGCCGTGAGATGAGGATACTGTGGTCGACGGTGTCAAAAGCAGCAGTAAGATCAAGGAGTACAAGTACCACATAGTGACCAGAATCGTTTGAAGTTAAAATGTCATTGCAAACCCTAACCAAAGCTGTTTCTGTGCTGTGGAGTTGCTTAAAACCAGACTGAAAGACCTCAAAGATTTTGTTCTCAGTTAAAAATTGATTCAACTGAGTAAAAACTATTTTTTTCTAGGATTTTGGACAGGAAGGGAAGCTTTGAGATTGGTCTGTAATTTGAGTGCACTGAGGGGTCAAGTCCAGGTTTCTTGATTAAAGGAGTGACTACTGCATTTTTAAAGGCCTGTGGAACCACGCTTGTAGCAAAGCTACTGTTAAGAATATTAAAAACAGTGGGCCCAATCGCTGGTAGAACCTGTTTGAACAGTGAGGGAGAGATTGGATCAGCAGGGGAGCCTGAGGGTTTCATGTGACCAACAACTTTGTTTAACAATGGGAGTGTGATTGGATTGAAATTCCTGAAAGTGGCTGAACATGGGACAAAAACCGATGGGTCGACTGAGGAGCGGGGGATGGAAGATCTGATCAGCTCTACCTTACCAACAAAGAATCTTGTGAAGTCGTTACAGACGTCCACAGAGGCCTCCATGCATTCAGACAAAGGGCCATTAAGAATGGAATTTACTGCTGTGAAAAGGGTGCGGGGGTTGTTTTTATTTTCACTGATCAGTTGGGAGAAGTATTTGTTTTTTTCTGATTTGACGGTGTTTTGGTAATTTTTTAAACAGGTTTTTAGCAAAATGAAAGAAACCTGGAGTTGGTCCTTTTTCCATTTGCGCTCTGCTCTCCTGCACAGTCGTCTCGCTGCCCTGGTGGTCTCGTTTATCCACGGGTACTGGGTTCTCCTTGCTTTCCTGACTTTCAGTGGGGCCACCAGATCCAAGATCTTGGTGCAGGTCTCATTGTGGTGACTAAGCAGCTCATGAGTACTGACACAGGCAGAGGTTTCAGGAGTTGAAACAGCAGTGGTGATAAAAGCAGAGGAAAAGCGAGCAGAGGTTGAAGGGTTAAATACACGACAGGTCCTAGGTGGAGTGGGGGATTTAGACTCACGA